AATGGCATTGAGGTTAAGATGGTATGTTTTGAAGTCTCACAGATCTAGGTTTGAACCCTTGCTCTACCTCTGCCTTTGGGCCATTACACGAACTCTTTGAGCCTCAGTAATCTCATCTGTAAACTAGGCATTTTTTTCACATAGCTGCTGTGAAGATAAAGAGAGATAATGAATTAAACTGCACATATTTAGTGATGGGTAGAATGACCATCATCGTATTCTTCTTTTCACCATCATCATCACCATCTCAGAGAGACAAAGGAGCCAAGATTTTGATCAATTAGAAAACTATCACAAGGATCCTAAGGATTATGTTGCTAAACCGGGACGGAATAAGCAAATTCTTATTTGAATATATGAGATTCCAGGACAGAATATTTAGTAGGGACCTGCTTCTAGAAAAGTTCTTAACAAAGAAAAAAGGGAAATTACTGGCCATGAGCTCTGAGCAAACCCTAAACATGCTTCTCACCACTGCCAGCCAGGGTGAGAATTCTCTGAAAAGCCCAAAAGTTCCCATTCTCATTCCCGTACTACCAAATGCTATTATAATTTTGCTAAGCCACAGGCATCTCAGAAACATCCCCCAAAAAGAAATCCAGTTTCTTTACTAAATCAAACCAATTCCTACCCTTAGTAATTCATCCCTTCCTGAGCCCATTGGGCTGACAGCCCTGTCTTGGGCTGGAGTCGTCCAAATAGAATGCAGCAGAGCCAGAATACCTGGGTTCAAATCCTGATCCCATTACTGTTTCCCTCTCTGACCTTAGGCAAGTTACTTAGACTCTCTGTGCTCCATTTTCCTCACCTGTAAAAGGGTAGTAATAGTACTAAGAGGCGTAATACAAGATATACGTTCAATAAATGCTGGCAATGATTAATGAGACTCTTAATACTCTGGCAGCATGCGCACAATGTCAGAAGCAATATCTTTGGGCCCTGGGCACCTTGAGGGCTCCATCTCACTCTCCTTCCTTTTCCAAGAACAGACTTTCTCTCTTAGGAGAGACATGTGCCAACAGCCTGGGCAGAACCACAGTCCAGAGAAGGAACTAACGCCAGGGAAACTCCAGGACCACAGTGGTCACTGGCCACAGTGCTGGCAGTCACACCTCCTGGGGAGCAGAGAGGCTCAGGTAGGGGAAGCTGTGATGACATGGCATCTCCACCAACAAGCCTGCTCAGGGCAGGTCTTTCCTGGGCGGATTCTCACAGCGAGGAGGCAACTTAGGCTGCTATTGAGTGAGAGTTCTTCTCTTACGCCTCAGTTTTCCCATTTCCTAAATGAAGGCCATGAATTTCCGGGTCTTCCCAGGGACACCCCTGAAGAAGGCAGGTATCATGTCCATTCTCAGCACCTGTGAGGCAAGTCCCCACTTAAAGAACAATTTCAGTGTCCCACAGCTGACTATACTTTCTCTACTCTTTCCTCACACCCTGCATATACCTTCTAGCACGTGGGCCTTCAGAGAACCCAGCGCATGCTCAAAAGACCAAGAAAGAAGGAAGTTTTTAAGTTTGTTTTGTACGGTGGGAGGGGGAGGAGGTAAATGAGAGGAAGAAAGGGACCAGTAACTGGTTATATGATCTTGGCACACTGTTCCTTTTCATGGAGGATCTTTCTCATAGAAGCGGCATAAAGGGAAGGAAATAAAAACTGGAACTATAGGAAGAGGGTCTCAGTCGCTGTTTCCCAACACCCGTCAGAGAGACTCTGTGTCCACCAGGGCAGGCCAGCACAGCACTTCTGTGAGGTCAGTGCCCCACCGACAACTCAGCTGTGAGCCTCTTCACATGCATCCATTCTACTACTACTAACTACATCACCTTACTATTTGTCTCGAGGCCTTTTCTAACTCAGAAATTCAAACTGTGATTTGTACACCATGCTGCAACTTACCAAGGGCTTCCATGTAAAGTATCCCTTTCAATCCTTGCAACAGACCTGTAACATATATGTCACGCCTACTTTATAGTCGCAGAAACAGAGGCTTAGAGAGATTAGGTAACATCTCTGAGATCATCTGACAGGAAAGCAGCAGCACCACCAGGTCCTGGCCTCATTTTGGACCCTCTTGTCACCAGATCACAGATAGCCTCTGGCCCCAGTTCACTTCCCCTAGCCCTTCAAGCCTGGGTTAGACACCCGTCTTAAGTACCCACCCTCGTTTTCTCTGGAATCTAATTCTTATCACACAGAATTTAATAAATACTCCGTATCCCACAGCACACTGAGTGTTCCCTGAAGGCCGAGACTGTGTAACTGGGATCATTCCCAGTGGTATTGCCCTGTACGTGGCACATGCTCAGTCAGTGGGTACCTAATAAATATTTGTTATGTGGATGTGAATATTTGACCAATTAACAAAGAGATGACTCTCTGAACATCCAGAGCTGTATAGCCCAGCCCCCACAACATCTGATTTCCTAATCTTGGTTTCCACATGCCTATGGCATACAGAGTCTTACATGGGGCAATTATGACTGAAAAAGGAACCAATGGATGCCAAAGCAACTTCATGGCCACCATCACATATTCAACAGAGCCCAGGACACTGAGTAAGGCAGACTTCCCAGTTCTTGTTAACAGCCATAATAATTGGCATCTGTACACCTGCTCTCATGCAGACAGGGCTCACACAATCCCCAGATACAGTTGTGTATCAGGGCTCCAGAAGTGGTAGGGAACACAGAGGTGGCCACTTCCCACTGGATGGGAACAGGTGGGGTGGGGTGTGACAGGATCTGGAGTCATCAGCCTTGGGAAGGACACAGCAAACACAAGTACCACCAAAGAGAACCTTTCCCAGAAGCAACAGGACCCCTGTGGGACCTGGCATGATCTAGCTAGGCTCTGCTGACCCAGAGGGCAAACCCAGGGGAGGGTTTGGCACCTCCTGATCAGGGAACAAGTTAAGGCAGAGTCTACAGACCCTGAGTGCAAACACTGTCAGGTGACCTAGGGAGTGAGACTGCTGGTAAGGCATAGAGTGGAGAGGAATATGGAAGACTTCCTGGAGATATGGAAATAAACTTTGGGCACAGAAGACACAGTGTTGTATCTATTTTACACATACCTCTTAGCATGGATCTGAAGACTGTATGTTCCTTACAATCATATCTCACTTGCCTTGGAGAGCCCTCCCTGCACCAGTGTCTGTCCCAGAAGGAGTTGGTTTAATGGAGCTCAGCAGGAGAAAAGACAGAGTGATCCACAGGAAGGGAAACTGCAGAATTGGAAGTGGAAGGACGAGCGCAGCGGAGTAAAGAATGATTGAGCTCTAGAAAACATGAGAAAATGAGCAGCAGCCAAGAGGGAAAGAAAGCAAGGGCTTGGCTTGCAGGTGACCAGGGAAGTCAGCAGGTGCTGGGAATTCAGTGCAGGTTTGGAGGTGAGCCCCAGGCCTGGCCCCATTGGGGGAGGGAATGTGGGCAGTAGGTGACTCAGGGGACTCCAAGGAAGACCCAGCTCTCCCAGTGTCAGCAGGAGAGAGTCCCAGAAAGAGAAGTCACGAAGAAAAAGTGCCCTGAAATAACAAATATCTGTGCTGAGGAGGTCAGAGTCCAGAGCCCCAGTAGGCAATTATCAAGGGTTCATAAACGTGGCAATTAAAGAAAGGAAAATAGAAGGCGTCCTTCCAGGTGAATCTAGCAGAGGCTCCGCCGGAGCACAGGCACACCCTCCAGGCTGGCTGCCAAGTCCACCGACTCTTCTTCAAGGTCGGGAGTGAAAAGTGGAATTAACAAGTTCTGTTTGTGGTTCACCTCACTACAGCAGCCCCAGAATCTGATCTTCCGCAAGCTGCCTCTGTCAAGATGCCCCAGCTTGAAGAAAAGGAATTGATTTCAGAGCGCTCCGAAATCTGAGCTGACTTGGGAGCAATGGCCACAGTGTGAGGACAAACACGGTGGAGGTTCTGGACCCAGGAACAGCAGAGAAAGTGAGAGCCAGGGCACATCACTGGCACATAACAGCCCCTGCCTCTCGATGCCAGCCCTGACCTGGTGTGCACTGGCCTTCTAGGAAACTTGTGGACCCCGCTAGACAGAGAGGTGGAGGCCTGGCTGCCAGCCCTGCCTGGGCACTGTCACCTGGGCACTGTGTGTCCTTAAATAAAGTAACTGGGCACTGTCACCTGGGCACTGTGTGTCCTTAAATAAAGTAACTAATAACCCATCCCCAACTCTCTACCTTAAGACACAGTGTCTTCTGAGATCTTTCAAGAGGTCCCTCTCAATTGTTCTTCCTGCCCAACAAGGGCTTCCAGCTTCCGGGTCTTCTAAAAGGCTCAAGACACACGTTTCCACACCCCTCCCCATGGAGTCACCTTCCCAAAGGGCTCTCCTAGAAGCCCAGATAAGCCCCACCCTGGAGTCCTTAGCTCCGGTCTCCATGGCAACCAAAGCTCTGTTCTCCCACGTGCCCTCTGCAAAAGGCCCCAAAATGCCTCTCACCAGGAAGGAAAAATCAAATTGCCGCAGAGTCCAAGAAAGACTAGACTCCAGAACCCCCAGGAAGCCTCCTTTCCCTCGCCCGAACGATCCCACTCCGAGCTTCCGCCCGGCTCCTTCCGGAGGTGCTCTGATAGAGCGGAGTCCACGGTGGGGCCGAGCTGGTTCCCATTTTCCTTTGGAGATTCGGCGTCTCCAAGAACCTGCGCGGTCCCGCCTCCCCCGTGGGTGGTGGGCAGTAGGGCAGGTACCAAAGGTCCTCCGGCCAGGTACCCGCCAAACAGGAAATTCCACCTGTCGGGCCAGCGCCTCGGCCAGAAAGGGGCTAGTGGAGCGGTCCCTTGGCCAAGACAAAGCGCGGCGCGGCGGAGGCCGGGGCGCCCGCTCGCACCGTCCAGCGCGCAGCCACACCGGGGCTCCCCGGCCCCGACGGCGCCCGCAAAGTCCGCGCCGCTCGTTCCCGGCCGGGCTCGCTCAGGGCTGCAGCCCGGCCGGAGGCGGTGTTGGCTGTCCCGCCGCCCCTCGCCCTCGCCCTCGCCCTCGCCCACCTCCGGCCGCGAGCTGTACTTGAGTCCCGCGCCGAGGTCCTTGGAGCCCCCTGCGCCCTTGCGGCCCCGATTGCTCTTCATGGTCCCGATGGCCAGTCGCAGGTCTCAGAGGCGTCGTCCCCACGAGCCACTGGCTCCCATCGCCGTCGGGGCACCGTGGACACGGGACGCTGGGGAAGGGGTGCGGAGGCGTGAGGCGCGGGTC